AGTTCACGCTTCATGTTAAAATTATTAGTTACTCATTTGAGCTTAAGTCAGTTTCACACTCGCATATCTGTGCCTGCAGGATCGAGTATCAGTTCTTGGACCCCGCCTTTCTAGCCGCCGGTTGTTTAAAGCAATGACTCCTGACCTATTTCACTATTATATCCACTGTTAAAGTTATGAATGAAAGTTTAAGTCCACGGTCTGCGCCTTTAGTTCATTCCCGTTTTCTCGCTACTCTTGTGCTAAAGGAAAACGTTTTAACATATCGGTGACTCAAGTGAATCTCAAAGTTCACTCCATGACCTCTCTTTCAACTGATGTTCGTTACGATAATACTAATAGAGCACACACACAAAAGAGGAACATTTCCTCTATGTACTCACCTAGTTGCTTGCGGGGGTTGAGCTTCGGTTCTTTGGTCCCGCCTCTCAAATGTCAATCAACCGGGGTACAGATTCCTGAGCCTACTGGGCTCTATCATATCTATATTTGAATTTGTGTAGTGTGTGTGTGTGTGTGTGTGTGTGTGTGTGTGTGTGTGTGTGTGTGTGTGTGTGTGTGTGTGTGTGTGTGTGTGTGTGTGTGTGATCAACCAAACTGTGGTTTTACGTAGAGACCCGGATAGTCGCAGCTTTTAAAGCTTCAAGTTTGTTAAGAAAAGGCTACCCGCTCTTGGGGTAAGTTCGAATCATCGTCAGTTCTATTGGATATCCTTTCCCCGCACTGGTGTGTGCCTGGAACATACCTGGAGAGGGTCTCTAGAGTCCTTCTACTCCCCGAGCCCGGCCGGAGGCCAGGCGTGACTTGTGAGAGCTTGGTCCACCAGGCTGTTGCTTGGAGCGGCCCGTGGGCCTACCCACTACAGCCTGGTTGGTCCGGCACTTCTTGCAAGAACTTGTCTAAGTTTCTCTTGGTTTACCTTCCTACTTAAACTTTTGATTCTTGCGGGAGTCAATTTTCTAAAGTTCTTTCACAAACCTGTAATGGGTTATCATAGTTCCTATTTTCACTCTCCCAATTTGGCGAAATCTTAGCTCGATCTTCATCCATATCGTTGTATGACTTATGATTTGATTCATGCATAATGCTAATCACAATGACGTGATGAATCTATAAATACTGAGGAAGTATTACGGAGTCGAACACGCGTTACTGGTCGCCCGAGGAACGCATTATCTTACCCAATACGTCGCAATGCGTTAAAATGCGTCGTTTTGGTAAACATTGAAGCACCGTGATTTTTGGCGTTTTCTATTATCGGCTTCGGTATGTTAGGTGGGTTGGTGGGGGTTTGAACGTTTCTGGCTAGGCAAAACAGGCCAATTTTTTTACGTAGTGGCGAAGCAAGAGAAGAGACTGCATGGTCTAGTGGATATTGCGTGCATCTAAGGTAATCAGGGACGCGAGTTCGATCCCATTCACTGCCTCAATATCTTCTCATACTAATGGATACATTTCACAGCTAAAATAAAAATAAAAAAGTTTGTGGTATTTGGGACCGAGAGGCTGAATGTCTCGAGCAACTTGCAATAGACAGTTTTCGAAAGCTCTATAAAGCGCTAAATAGTTCTAAAAGGAAAGTTTTAATTAGCGGGACATCTCTCTGCAACGGGAGGTTGTAGAGAGTTTCTCAGTCGACTTGAGAATGGTCCAGGACGGACCGAAACGTCGTTATCCCTTCACCTTCTAGTGTGTGGTCTGGTCAACATACTTCAGCCACGTCATTCCCGCCAAACACACACCGAAACTACGACGTTGGTACAACGTTCGAACAAGTTTTAACACCTAACTAGTTATAACAACCAATATAGCAAGTTGTAACAACGTTCTAATACGTCATAAACACGTTAAGCCAAGATGTAACAACTTTATTACAAGTTGTAACAAGCGGAAAATAGAGACAGTTTCGGTTTGTGTTTCCAGGGTTGTGACTCCTCGCCTGTAATCGGTTGTTGCTATTGCTGCTAAGGGTGGGTTTGGTGGGCGGGAAGGTGGGTATATAGGCGGGGCATGAGTGGGTAGAATAGTGGGTACATTACAATCCCCTGAAGATGGGTACCCATTCCTGTTGAGATTTATAATTTTATGGATTTTGTGCTAAAACTCCCCTTCTCCCCACGAAGCCCCCCCCCCCGCCTTCCCCATATTCCCTCCCCCTCGTAGGGGCCTCGTAGCCTGGTGGATAGCGCGCAGGACTCGTAATTCTGTGGCGCGGGTTCGATTCCCGCACGAGGCAGAAACACATGGGCAAATTTTCTTTCACCCTGAATGTTCCTGTTACCTAGCAGTAAATAGGTACCTGGGTGTTAGTCAGCTGTCACGGGCTGCTTCCTGGGGGTGGAGGCCTGGTCGAGGACCGGGCCGCGGGGACACTAAAGCCCCGAAATCATCTCAAGATAACCTCAAGATAACCCTCTCAACCAACTCCCCCCCCCCCCCACCCCCCATTCGTGTCACGCATGCGCTGTGCGTCGCTGTTCGTCGTGAACTTGCTTGCGATTGGCTGCTGCGGTAATCTGGTCTCGTACAACGAGTCATTAGGAGAGGTATGGTCAGCTCTAAAGACGTGTTCTGATTGGCTGTTAACGGGCACTTATAGTATCGTCTGTCTGTCCATTTTTGTTGTTAGAAAACAAATTCGGTTAGAAAATATTTAACAGTAGGCCTACTGTTCATACAGTAGGCCTACTGTTCATACAGTAGGCCTACGTTTAGAAAATTTGAAAAAAAAGCTAGCCTACCAACCAATTGACTAACCAATCAAAACACACACACACACACACACACACACACACACACACACACACACACACACACACACACACACACACACACACACACACACAGTGTGTGGTCTGGTAGCTGGGCGGACAGCGCACAGGACTCATAATTATGTGGCCCGGGTTCGATTCACGGACCAGGCAGAAACAAATGGACAAAATTTGTTTCACCCTCATGCCCTTGTTACCTAGCAGTAAATATGTACCTGGGAGTTAGACAGCTGTTACGGAGCTGCTTCCTGTGTGTGTGTGTGTGTGTGTGTGTGTGTGTGTGTGTGTGTGTGTGTGTGTGTGTGTGTGTGTGTGTGTGGAAAAAGATAGTAGTTGATTGACAGTTGAGAGGCGGGCCGAAAGAGCCAGAGCTCAACCCCCGCAAGCACAACTAGGTGAATACACAACCATCGCATTGTGTTAGGTTTAATTGCTATTTCCTGTGTCTCTCTTCCATTTTCCTCAGTCTCCCCTTCCACCCACCTCCCTTCTCTTCTTGTTGAACCTTCTCTTCCATAGTTCTTCGTGCCTTTTCCTATCCTTCCCTTTTCCATCTTAATCTACCGTTCCCTGCATTTTCCATTTGTATGTATCCTTCCCTGTCCCCTTTACATATTCGTCTTTTCCATCTCAATCTTTCCTTCCCTGCCTTTTCCATCTATTACCCCTCTCTCCTCCTCCTCTTCCTCCCCCATCCCAGCCTCCTTGCCACGCCCCTCTGGAAGCCACGCCCCCTTGGAGGCCACGCCCAATCTGAACACCTCCTAGTGCTTTGTTTACATTCTGGTTGCCATGGCGACCGCCATGATGCCTTGAGGTGCCTATTCGCGAATTTTCCCGTGCGTCACGATGCTTTATTCACTATTTTGCGTCGTGTGTCAAATTGTTTCGCTGTAATGAGGCTTTTTATACCATCATTTTATTATTATTATTGATAATTATTAGAGTATATGTGTGTAGGGGGACTGAAACAAGTACGCTGCGAAATGCGTATTGGTGGTAGCTTTGCGCATGCGCAGCAGCCGTGACATTGACAATGGCTCCAAAGCGCAGACAGATAAGCAGAGATACGTTATCTCATCTCTTTATCTCCTCTGCGACCTTATCCAGCACTCCGTAGCGTCGCTCGGATAAACCTTATCGCCTCTCTGTGGTTAATGACGAATCACAGGCGAATCACGTTTCAGCGGCACCTCGATGCTGTAATTGTGTGGCACTGTGGTTAATGTGGCCGATAATGGGCTTTTTTGAATGGGAAATAATTGTAATAGGTTGACTTGCCTATTGTGGGGATACTCAAATGCCTATTAATGGGTACAGTTGTAGAGGGTGTATAGGGTAATAGGGAGGTGATTGGTTGAGTCTGTGGATGATTGTGTGTGTGTGTGTGTGTGTGTGTGTGTGTGTGTGTGTGTGTGTGTGTGTGTGTGTGTGTGTGTGTGTGTGTGTGAAAGGGATGGGCTGCACACTCACTGACCTCACCATTACCACAAATATCCTCCATTGTTGCATTGTTCTTGCTATCCCATTTTCCCTGTTGGACCCCCTTACCCCACACCCCCACCCCTACCCCTACATACCCCCCACCCCTACCCCTACATACCCCCTACCCCCACCCCAGACCCCTCCATACCCCCCCCCCCCCTTCCCTTTGAGGGGTAGGGAAGAGCGTCGATGATAAAAGGTTATCTTGCGTGCGTGCGTGTGCGTGTGCGTGTGCGTGTGTGTGTGTGTGTGTGTGTGTGTGTGTGTGTGTGTGTGTGTGTGTGTGTGTGTGTGTGTGTGCTCACCTAGTTGTGCTTGCGGGGTTTAAGCCTTTGGTTCTTTGGTCCCGCCTCTCAACTGTCAATCAACTGGATCAGGTGTGTGTGTGTGCGTGTGTGTCCGTGCGTGCGTACATGCGTATGCGTGTAGGCGCCGTGGACTCTAGCTTCCCTGCGCCTTCCCATCGATTATACCAAGTCGGAGTCTTTTTTTAATATAATACTTTCAATTATATCCCGTCTTGAAGACTGTTCCCCCTTTTGCGTACTGCTTGGATGCTGTTTGGTAGTTGTGGTTGACGTGGTTGGTGCTGGTTGGTGGGGGTGATATCCCCCCCCCCACACCTGTGTGTGTGTGGGGGAGAGGGGGGTAGCATGTGTGGAGGGTGTGTAAGGGGGGGGGGGAGGAGATTCGCCGTACGATTGGAGTGTGGGAGTGTTATAATCTCGTGTTAGGTCGCAGGCTTGATCAGTTTGCTTCTGGCCTTGGTGACAGAGGCACGCGTTGCTCCGTTAGTGGTTCCTAGTCCTCTTTTGTTTTTATAGAGCCAGTTATAGTGTCCACGGCTCTAGTGTTGTGATAATTGCTGCTACAACAGTGAAGACAAGTCAGTACTGCTACACAAGTCCCCCCAATGCTTTTGGACTGAAAATATTGTGATCTTCGATTTGGAAAAAAAACAAGAAATTCTGGTCTGCTCTTATAGGGGAAATAGTGTCATATTGTTTGGTATTTCTCAGGAAATCAATGGCTAAATGTCACGCAATTTCGTCAAGGAGTTGGCACGCCGAACACAAATATTTTAATGAGGTTATTCGGGGATTATTTCCTTGAGTAAGGTAAGGGGGGTTGCTCCTCCTTGACCTCTGAGGTAAGGTTGACCCTCTGAGGCAAATGGCAAACAGAAATTTCTCACTGAAAATTTTATACCTGGTCTTTGAATGGTCGTTGGGTACAGTTGACGGATCGATTTGGTCGATACACAGGTGCATCGACAGACCAATCCGTCCTCCATTCCATCCAGCGGTCGACCCCAAAGACGCATTCATCAGTTTGAACATGCTGTTCATTCAAGAACAAGATTTATCTCAAATATAAATTAATATTAATATATATTAGCATAAAGTGCATATTTAGGCATTAGGTTAGGTGTTTAGGTTCTGTTGGCGATTATTTGTATTTGGAGTACGTGGGTCAACCCGTCCTCAACTCAAGTCCATTCCATCCAGCGGTCGACCCCACAGACGCATTCATAAATTTTAACATGCTGTTCATTCAAAACGGGAATTTTCTCAAGTATAAATTAATATTATAATATATTAGCATATTGTGCATATATAGGCATAGGTTAGGTTAGGTGTTTAGGTTCTGTTGGCGATTATTTGTGTTTGTAGTACGTGGGTGAAGCATTTACAGCGTTGTGATTCGAACACAAGTCGTCAGTGAAGCACTTGTTCCGGAAGTGTTCGAACGTCATCAGTTGTGAGTGGTGTGTAAACCGTTTGTCATTCATAAACAGCTGGGGGTTTGGCGGGTGGATGGAATGGACTTTGGGTCTTTGTTTGGAGGACGGGCTGCGTCCTCACACTAGGCTGTTTAAAACAGCGGCTGTCTTCATAAACAAAGTCCATTCCATCCACCCGCTATTTATGAATGACAAACGGTTTACACACGACTCACAACTGATGACGTTCGAACACTTCCAGAACAAGTGCTTCACTGACGACTTGTGTTCGAACCACAACGCTATAAATGCTTCACCCACGTACTACAAATACAAATAATCGCCAACAGAACCTAAACACCTAACCTACTCTATGCCTATATATACACAATATGCTATTATAATATTAATTTATACTTGAGAAAATTCCCGTTTTGAATAAACAGCATGTTAAAATTTATGAACGCGTCTGTGGGGTCGACCGCTGGATGGAATGGACACGAGTCGAGGACGGGTTGTTCAACGATACAATGCTAAGAACTCACTAGAATAAATTAATTAAATATAGGGCTTACAATATAGGCTTAATTCACCAAGAATAGTGATAAACATTAAAACGATGAATTAGGACGATAAATGGTGAATGGAAATGTATAGTAGCCAGGAAATGGTGTGTGTGTAGGGGAGGGGGGGGGCTCTAAGGGGGTCAAGAATGGTGTGTGTGTGTAGGGGGGGGGGGGCTCTAAGGGGGTCAAGAATGGTGTGGTGTGTGTGGGGGGGGGGGCTCTAAGGGCCTCAAGAATAGTGTGGGGGGGGGGCTCTAAGGGGGTCAAGAATGGTGTGTGTGTAGGGGAGGGGGGGGGGCTCTAAGGGGGTCAAGAATGGTGTGTGTGTGTGGGGGGGCTCTAAGGGGGTCAAGAATAGTGTGGGAAGTATACATTCCCCTGAGAGTGATGCTGCGGGAGTCTTGATTTCGGGAGATGAATTGATGATGCCGTGAAGCTCATGCGGGCATCTGGTGACGCAGGAGGGGTGCCAGGTGACGCAGGAGGGTGCCAGGTGACGCAGGAGGGTGCCAGGTGACGCAGGAGGCTGCCAGGTGACGCAGGAGGGTGCCAGGTGACGCAGGAGGGTACCAGGTGACGCAGGAGGCTGCCAGGTGACGCAGGAGGCTGCCAGATGACGCAGGAGGCTGCCAGGTGACGCAGGATGTTGCCAGGTGACGCAGGAAGCTGCCAGATGACGCAAGAGGCTGCCAGGTGACGCAGTAGCATGCTCGGTGACGCAATGTGGCGTCAAGAAACGCAATATGGCGTCACTTGAGACCAAAACAGGTGGAGGCAGGCACAGTGCCGTAGCCCAGGTGAGGGCCACGTGACATTTAGTGGCACTCCATAAACCAGTGGTCATCCATATTGCTGGCACTGTCTTCCAGGACTCCTAACTGGCAGTGGTATTTGGGACTCCTTACTGTCTGAGGGGGAGAAGGTGTTGAGAGTATTAATAACACACACACACACACACACACACACACACACACACACACACACACACACACACACACACACACACACACACACACATCACACACGCCCCCACATTGTGGGGGCCTCGTAGCCTGGTGGATAGCGTGCAGGACTCGTAATTCTGTGGCGCGGGTTCGATTCCCGCACGAGGCAGAAACAAATGGGCAAAGTTTCTTTTACCCTAAGTGCCCCTGTTACCTAGCAGTAAATAGGTACCTGGGAGTTAGTCAGCTGTCACGGGCTGCTTCCTGGGGTGTGTGTGTGTGTGGTGTGGGGAAAAAAAAGTAGTTAGTAAACAGTTGATTGACAGTTGAGAGGCGGGCCGAAAGAGCAAAGCTCAACCCCCGTAAAAACACAACTAGTAAACACACACACACCTTCAAGGCAATCTACACAACATTCGTCAGACCAGTATTAGAATGTGCAGCCTGGAATCCGCACCTTGGGAGGCATAAAGCCGAAACTGAAAAGTACAAAAGTTTGCAACACGACTGGTGCCGGAGCTAAGAGGGTTAAGCTATGAGGACTGGTTGATGGAACTAAGACTCATATACCTAGAAGATAGAAGAAAAAGAGAGGGAATATGATCGCAACATACAAGATACTGAGGGGGAAAATAAACTCTTTACGTGTGGTACATTAGGGGTTGTCTCATGTGGAAGTGAGGCACATTAGGGGGTTGTCTCACATGGGAGTGAGGCACATTAGGGGTTGTCTCACTTGGGGATGAGGTACATTAGGGGTTGTCTCACATGAAAGTGAGGCACATTAGGGGGTTGTCTCACATGGAAGTGAGGTACATTAAGGGTTGTCTCACTTGGGGATGAGGTACATTAGGGGTTGTCTCACATGGGAGTGAGGCACATTAGGGGTTGTCTCACATGGGAGTGAGGCACATTAAGGGTTGTCTCACATGGGAGTGAGGCACATTAGGGGTTGTCTCACGTGGAAGTGAGGCACATTAGGGGTTGTCTCACGTGGAAGTGAGGCACATTAAGGGTTGTCTCACATGGGAGTGAGGCACATTAAGGGTTGTCTCACATGGGAGTGAGGCACATTAGGGGTTGTCTCACGTGGAAGTGAGGCACATTAGGGGTTGTCTCACGTGGAAGTGAGGCACATTAGGGATTGTCTCACATGGGAGTGAGGCACATTAGGGGTTGTCTCACATGGGAGTGAGGCACATTAAGGGTTGTCTCACATGGGAGTGAGGCACATTAGGGGTTGTCTCACATGGGAGTGAGGTACATTAGGGGTTGTCTCACATGGAAGTGAAACACATTAGGGGTCAGAGATGACACTACTCACTACCAATGAGTGATCGATACACCCCCCCCCTCACTGTCTGAGTGTGGGAGGGGGGGGGGGAGGGGTGTGGGAGGGGGGGGAAGGGGTATGGGGGGGGAGAGGGAAGGTGGGGGGTGAGAGGTTATGAGAGGTCAGACGTCTCTCCCTAAACCCCCAATGAACACTTTGAACCTCATGCTAGATGAAGACGGATTTTGAAGAAAATGGGAAACAGTTAGCATCATCAGAGAGAGTACTAGGAGGGAGATGCCCGGAATTGAGCCCGGCCTCGTAGCTCCAGACCCCGCCAGGAGGCCTGGTTGACCAGACAGGCTTGGTCAGAAATCGAACAACCGGAACATTGATCCCCGGAACCATATTTCATGCTAAGGTCATTACAATCACTTGCCTGCAGCCTGTGTACGATCCTTTGTACGATACAAGTGACAGCGAATATAAGACGGTTCGTCACCAGAATCTAAAACCTAACCTAACTTAACCAAAACAAACCCAATCTAATCCAGACTATCTTAACCGAGCGTAACACAGGTTAATCTAAGCTAACACATCATAACTTAACAATATATATGGTTTTTAGCCATTTAAAAATGAGATTTGTTTGAGGCCCATTTGGGTATGACTTGAGCCAAGCTTGTGTACGACGCACTTAAGTTGCTCCTTAACCACCTTAACCACCTTAAGGAGCCTTGTTAGTGTGACGCCTTCTGCACACAGTGATGTGGGCGAGAGGAGGTCTTGAGCTGTTAGATGGGATCGAACCCGGGTCCCTGGGTTCGTGGGGTGCACAGGTTTTGACGAGTGAACCAATGATGGTCTGGGAAGCATCTCAACCTATGGAAAACTGGTGTTAAGGATGGTAATGGTGTTGATTATTGAGTTAAATCTCTCTCTCTCTCTCTCTCTCTCTCTCTCTCTCTCTCTCTCTCTCTCTCTCTCTCTCTCTCTCTCTCTCTCTCTCTCTCTCTCTCTCTCTCACACACACACACACACTCTACAATCTACGTTAAACTACAGACCCTTATCTTATCATGACAGCGTGATGGTGAGGGGATGAACCAGCATATAGTGAGTAACTAGCGATAGTTACCACGAATCACCATACTTTAATGGCGGTAATGGTGGTTGAGGATGGTCCCTCCCCCCCCCCCCCCTTCCTCTTCCAGAAGACTGTGTCAGGCAAGGGAAAGAGGGCCTTCTTCTTTGACGCCTGACTCCGTAAGGCGTTTGAAACAATAAGTGTTACGTAGAAAAGAGAACAGACGTATGGACCATGATTCCAGATACTTGGATCTCAGCCTGTATATTAGCAATATTATGAAAATATTATAGAATAATTCAAATATAGTTCACAGACATGGTGTGTGGTGATGCCGAGAGGCTCTATATGATGCAGTGCCATCATGGAGTCCCCACCTGAAGAAACACATAAGGAAACTGAAAAAGGTTCAGAAGTTTGCATTGAGACTCGTCCCAGAGTTACGAGGGATGGGGTATGAAGAGCGCCTGAAGAAACTGAGCCTTACGACATTAGAAAAAAAGAAGGGAGAGGGGGGATATGATAGGAACGTATAAAATACTCAGGGAAATTGACAAAGTGGAAATAGATGAAATGTTCACACGTAATAATAACAGAACGAGGGGACATGGGTGGAAGCTGGAAACTCAGATGAGTCACAGGGATGTTAGGAAGTTTTCTTTTAGCGTGAGAGTAGTGGAGAAATGGAATGCACTTGGGGAACAGGTTGTGGAAGCTAACCCTATTCATAATTTTAAAACCAGGTGTGATAGGGAAATAGGACTGGGGTCATTGCTGTAAACAACTGATGGCTAGAAAGGCGGGATCCAAGAGTCAATGCTCGATTCTGCAGGCACAAATAGGTGAGTACAAATAGGTGAAAACACACACACACACACACACACACACACACACACACACACACACACACACACACACACACACACACACACGGCGGGACCAAAGAGCCAGAGCTCTTTGCCATATGAAGGGACCAAAGAGCAAGAGATAATGAGTACACACACACACTCACACCCTATAAAATGCTCTGGGAATGGGCCAGAGTTGACAAGAACAATTTGAAATGGGCGAGCAAGGACCCAATTAGAAGCTAACTACCCGAATGTGTCGCAGTGATGTTAAGGGAGAACTTAATTTAGCGTCCAAGCAGTCAATTAGCGAAATAAAGTGGAGAGAACAAGCAACTGCAGGAGCAGTAGTCATGAATTCTTGCCTGTGACGCCATGCATATATGCTGCAAGCTGAGATAGGAGTCATCAAGTATTTGTGTGTCCACCTACGAAACCTGTACATCTTTCCCCGATCATCTCACACACACACACACACAGGCGTGCTGTTTCAGGATGAGTTTAAGAAAGGGGTTCGTATTGAATATGGATTTTCATTCCTATTGTTTCTTAGTTTTATTAAAACTCATTTGTGTTCACGACGGGTGTCTCTCTTTCTCTCTCTCTCTCTCTCTCTCTCTCTCTCTCTCTCTCTCTCTCTCTCTCTCTCTCTCTCTCTCAAATGGGGGAGATATACCTTAACAAAGCTAGTCAAGAAAGGATTAGCCGCCTCTCCGCCCATGACCGGAGGGACACGTTGAGAAACTATTCCTGTGCCTAAGAATTAATGAGACACGTGACAATGTCTGGGAACCAGTGAGACACATGCCTCGGTCTGCGCACCCAATGGAACGCATGATTAGGTCTATAGTGACCCAATGGAACGGATGCTTAGGTCTAAGGACCAATAAGACACATGCTTCAATAGGTCTGAAGACCGATGAGAAACGTGCATAGGTCTAGGAGCCGATGAGAAACATGATTTTGATGGTTTTGATAATATGGTCATTGTGGGAATTATGATCTGAATATCTTCCTCGCCAAATATGTCACATTATTTACGGAATCGATCAATCCGTTGAAAATGCGACGTATTTGCATGAATTAAAGCAGCGTAATATTGACGTTTTCTATGCATCGGCCTCTGGTAGGTTAGGTGGGTTGCTTGGGTTTGTATATTTCTGTTTTTAGACATTTATTTTCTGGTGGGTTTTTGTGTGTTTTTTTTTTTCCTGAAAATTACTTCCAAATACTCTAGGCCTAAGCCTATTTTATTTTTATATTAACGATATTGATAATTACAATGTTACGATGACCTCAGTGGCAAAATACATTTTGGAATAAATAATGGCATTTTCCTATAATCAACAGTTATAACTAAAGAAAAAAGTACTCTGGTTCACTTTTGCAGTCTCAAGTCTCTGTTTTTGTTTTTGTGTGAACTCTGTATAGCAATAAAAGCATTTCAAAAGTATATAAACAACTTGGAGTACATTATGTTGGGCACTCAAAGACGAAGCAAATCCTTTGACGGTGAGCTCGATGACCGACACAGTAGAAGGACGTTTGTTGAAGTCTCTGATCGAAAAAGCTCAAAGAAAACTGCAAATGTCGATAAAAAACGGGAAGATAAACAGATAATGAATAACTACAGAAATAACGAAACTGACCTGCATAAGGCTGAGAGGAATTTGAGTATGATCGAAATGAGGGAGAACGAGGAAAGAAGAAGTAGGAGCAGCAGAGGCGACGAGGAACAGCATCTCAGAGAATACGTCTTCTCGAAACGAGGCATCGAACTCCAAGAAGCAACGAGGCGGACGAAGGAAAATGGCGACCCAAGGAGACTTCGAGACTCCGGCCGGAAAGTCAGACGGGACAAAGACAAGAGGAAGTCCTACCCGAGCGAAGGCAGCAGGAGGACTCGAACTCCCCGGAGGTCGAGGAGGCCTTCCCCGGTGAGGTCGGTCTCCAACAACTCGACCTCCTCCTTGACCTGCTATGACGACAACGATGATAGCATTGCTTATATCGTGTATGAGCGAGCTGTAAGTTGGGGCGCTGGCTTTGTTTAGCTTCTTACCTGGAATTCATTACTTGGTTACCTGTAATTGTACGTGTAGTTACTTTTTGTGCGTGTAGTTGTTTACTTTGTATGTGTAATATTAGTTACCTTCTTGGATGTATGGTTCTTGCTGAATTGTAGAGAATACATGATTGATGACTTCAGCAGTTTATAGAGTAAGGTAACAAGTTGTTTATCTGACCTGCCTGCGGTCCTACCTACTCTGAGGTCTGTGTGAATACTGACTCATGATGAAGATGAAGCCACTCAAAAGGTGGCACGGGCATGAATAGCCCGTAAGTGGTGGCCCTTTTGAGCCATTACCAGTATCAAGAGCTGATACTGGAGATCTGTGGAGGTGCGACTGCATGACGGGAGATGTCTCCCGTGTCATCACCAGAATGTCTAGTACCAGCTTTCTGTGGAGAATGGCGTCAGAGGCTTACTCGACTGTGATTGGCTATCTCCCAACCATACGTGTGATTGTTTACCCTTGTATGTGTAATTGTTTACCCTTGTACGTGTAATTGTTTACTCTTGTATGTGTAATTGTTTACCCTTGTATGTGTAATTGTTTTAGGATGTTGATGATTTAGGGAGCCGGTTGGCCGAGCGGACAGCACACTGGACTTGTGATCCTGTGGTCCCGGGTTCGATCCCGGGCGCCGGTGAGAAACAATGGACAGAGTTTCTTTCACCCTATGCCCCTGTTACCTAGCAGTAAAATAGGTACCTGGGTATTAGTCAGCTGTCACGGGCTGCTTCCTGGGGTTGGAGGGCTGGTCGAGGACCGGGCCGCAGGGGACACTAAAGCCCCGAAATCATCTAAAGATAACTAAAGATAATCTAAAGATAGGTCCCCCATGACTAGAAGTTTAGCTCTTTGTGTGCTGCTGTTGCTGCTCTCTGCAATTCATCTATGCATGCCTTGTTGTCATCATATTCCTGCCTAGGTCTTCTGTTGCTTGCGGGGGGGTTGTAAATTACCAGGGGGGGGGGGAAATATCCTATTTCCATTTGCTGTCAGTTCCAGCGATGGAGCCTATGTATGCATTTGCATTCTGATTTTCTAGTTCCTCGAACTTCAGCCTCCATTTTACCAGGAGTGCCACTGCCAGTCCTTGTTGTCTTTTTTTTTCTCATTACATGGTATGCCCCTGGAAATATTGCATCAGATATCATATCATTTATTTTTGTTTCCACTATTTCAATTAAAATAGGTTCATGTTTGCTAACCCTTTCTTCGTTTTCTATGCCTTGTTTGTAACTCCATCAGTGTTTATGTACCATACCTTATCTGCTGGATACCTGCGCTTGATGGGGTTCTGGGATTTCTTCTACTCCCAAGCCTGGCCCGAGGCCAGGCTCGAATTGTGAGAGTTTGGTCCACCAGGCTGTTGCTTGGAGCGGCCCGCAGGCCCCATATCCACCACAGCCTGGTTGGTCCGGCACTCCTTGAAGAAAATTATGCATACGTTTGGTAAACATTATAACACCAATTCCATGTCTTTGTGAGAATGGTCGAGGTATTGACTGCAATTAACTAAAATTATAAATATAATTAGTGGTGTATATTTCATCTTTCTATTCTTTTCAAAGGGTGTGAATGTTTTAGGTTGAAACTAAAATTTTTTGTTTAATGTGTTAATAAACTGGAAAATCTTGAAAGTGCTTCTGAAGCTGTTTTAATAAATTAATAATAAAAATAAGACCTTATTTGCCGTCCTTTGCATATATCTGTAAATGTCTGGTGTCCTTTAGAACCACTGAACATTTTCTTTATTTTTTTTCAAATATGGCTGAGACATATTTTTTACCTCTATTCAACTTGGCATTCAGGAGAATTTCGGAGTCATTAAATGACATAATACTGCTCCATTACTTCTGCCATGAGAGACTGAATCATTTAATGAATTCATTAAGATTCTTTAACTACTAAATTGCACATGGAAGCAACCTAAAATTATATCTTACACTTTTCTCTGTGATGGATTGCATCCATCCTTTGTAATGGTTAATTTAAAGTGTCCTCTCCTAACGTACCAGAGGACCCAAAACAGAAAATGGGACAGTATGTCACTTTCACCAGCCGCATCTATTTTCTAGTACGTCAATTTTTGGCCCAATGTTCTAATTGGTTAATTTCATTAACCTGGGCTCTAGGAGACTCGAACTGTGGTCCCCCCACGAATGTGATGCTGAAGTTCTATCTATCTATTTTAATTAATTTAATTTTTAATTTGTGTATACTTTATAAGGTGGAGATCTTTGAAATAATTGAATCCAAAACTATTAGCCCGATATTTTGCTTTTTAGAAGAATTCGAGTATTTCATGTCTTTTTCAATGGACCTGCTTTCTTTACAGAAATATAGTGTTTTAGAAGAATTAAGCAACCAAGCATTCCCATTTTCATGTCTTTTTCAATGGACCTGCTTTCTTCCTTCAGACCAATGGCGGGCCAGACGAGTGGGAGAGCGAGGAGATCACGCTGGAGAGAGGGAACCAGGGGTTGGGCTTCAGCATCGCTGGCGGCACAGACAACCCCCACATTGGGTGAGTGCCACAAACTCCATTAACACCATATATCCTTGTAAACACACAAAACGTAACAGCCCCCTATTATTCCCTTGTTTACAACTTGTCATAAAGTTGTTACATCTTGTTATGACGTTTTTATGACGTATTAGAATGTGGTTACATTTGCTCTGTTAGTTGTTATAATTGTTAGAAGTTGTTAAACCTTGTTCGAACGTTGTATCAACGTTGTGGTAACGTTGTAGCAACGTCGTAGTTTCGTCGCGTGTTCGGCAGGATGAAGAGTTGCAAGATGATGAATTCTCTACTCGAGAATATTGAGGCCAGACGATAAGGCTTCCCACGACTGGAGTAGTCCATCTGGTTTTACCTGAATTTACCTGAGGGGCCACTAGCACTATTGGCCGCGACGAGGACAGGAAGCTGGCGGCTTGTCAAAGGTCTCCCCCCCCCCCCCCCCCCATTTGCCCCAGGTTGAGATACTGTACTTTAAAAACCCATTATGGTTCAGTTGGCAGTGCATGTGTGCCTGAGGAGTCCAAGGATTCGATCCCATCATATGACTAATATTTTCTCAGGAAAAATGTCACATTCTTATGATTTCATTGTGCATTCGAAACAGAATTCAAAATTAGCTTTATATCACAGCCTTTACCACTGTCGATTAATTTAAAAGTTTTTTCACAGCTTGTGTTCCCATATGTAGTGTCTTGAGAGTTCCTCGTCTTCTATATGACTTGAAACTTGCAGAACTGATATCTTGAGGTTATCTTGAGATGATTTCGGGGATTTTTAGTGTCCCCGCGGCCCGGTCCTCAACCAGGCCTCCACCCCCAGGAAGCAGCCCGTGACAGCTGACAAACACCAAGATACCTATTTTACTGCTAGGTAACAGGGGCATAGGGTGAAAGAAACTCTGCCCAGTGTTTCTCGCCGGCGCCTGGGATCGAACCCAGGACCACAGGATCACAAGTCCAGCGTGCTGTCCGCTCGGCCGACCGGCTCCCTATGTTTGATGTTTACAAAAAAAAAAAGCTTCATATTACACCTGTTTAGTGTGTCATACTGCAACAACGATTTTGTAGAAGTATCACCCCCTCCTCCTGTTTTGGTAGTACTTATAGTAACGATGAAGACTATCGTACATATATTGACATTAAAGGCAGTTAGAAAGTAGAAATCGGTACTATTGAATTTGGAGAAACGGGTAAAGGTTTTGGATTTATGTTGCTAAGGCAACCTAACCTAACCTAACCTAACCTAACCTAGCCTAACCTAACCTAACCTAACCTAACCTAACCTAACCTAACCTAACCTAACCTAACCTAACCTAACCTAGCCTAACCTAACCTAACCTAACCTAACCTAACCTAACCTTCCCGTCCCTTCCCTTCCCTTCCTAGGCTATCTGAGGTCTAATATAGTACAGTACAGTACTTATATGTGCTATACTAGGCCTAAGAATATTTAAGTTTGTTTTTAGCTTTATTTTTTCGAACTCTATAAGGTGAATAGTACCAAATTGTACTACACAGTATAAATCCCTTTTACGTCAATATATGTACGATTGTCCATGTACATATGGAGCCAGTCGGCCGAGCGGACAGCACGCTGGACTTGTGATCCTGTGGTCCTGGGTTCGATCCCAGGCGCCGGCGAGAAACAATGGGCAGAGTTTCTTTCACCCTATGCCCCTGTTACCTAGCAGTAAAAGAGGTATCTTGGTGTTTGTCAGCTGTCACGGGCTGCTTCCTGGGGGTGGAGGCCTGGTTGAGGACCGGGCCGCGGGGACACTAAAGCCCCGAAATCATCTCAAGATAACCAAGATACATACTTACAAAAAAGTACTATCTAAACAGGAGGATGGGTTGAAAAATATACCGAGCCTTGCATAATGAAATCACAAGAATCTGATGAAATATTGCAGCCGTACGTTCGATCCCATTGTACTGCCTCAATATTTTCTCACATCAAACCATTTTGTTCACATTAGCATTGTTGCCAGGCAGTGCCCTAGATGGGATCGCTTGATATTACAGGCCTAAAATGTATAACTAGTGTCCATTTTGTGACTAGTTTTGACAATTTTTCAGTGTGTTTTGATGAAATCTGCTGCATAGATTTATTAAAGCTTTGTCATACACTACAAATAATAATTTCTGTTATCCTCATAATAACAAAATCTGGAGTTAATTGTAATTAATATTTTAAATAAAATTTCAACCTTCTTGGCAAATACAGTACAATACTGAACAAATCCACAAGAGCCTTTACGAGGGTTCGAACCTTCATTTGTTCATTTGATGCATCACGCTATTGTGATTTGTGTGCTAGGTTGGCCCCTTGTGGATTTGTTCATTTGATGTATCACGCTATTGTGATTTGTGTGCTAGGTTGGCCCCTTGTGGATTTGTTCATTTGATGCATCACGCTATTGTGATTTGTGTGCTAGGTTGGCCCCTTGTGGATTTGTTCATTTGATGTATCACGCTATTGTGATTTGTGTGCTAGGTTGGCCCCTTGTGGATTTGTTCATTTGATGCATCACGCTACAGCTATTGTGATTTGTGTGTGCAGTACAATACTGGTTATCTCGGTTATCTTGAGATGATTTCGGGGCTTTTTAGTGTCCCCGCGGCCCGGTCCTCGACCAGGCCTCCACCCCCAGGAAGCAGCCCGTGACAGCTGACTAACATCCAGGTACCTATTTTACTGCTAGGTAACAGGGGCATAGGGTGAAAGAAACTCTGCCCATAACCTAACCTACTGTACCTAACTTGGTAAATGAATTTAGTAATACTGTACATTATTTATAATTAATTACGTATTTTAATTTGTGTTAAAAATATTGAGTTAATTTTGTAATGCAGTACAGTATTTATAATTTGCCAGTTTGCCAGACTGCACACTGTCTCTTGCCATGTATCTGTACTACTGTACACTGTCATGTCATGTTAATGTTCTGCTGTACACTGTCACTTGTTAGGCATCTCTACAATATTAGCAAACACCAATAGCTTAACAACACTGATTAGGATTATCTCTTGTGCAAACTATCTCTCTGTATCTTCCAGATACTATATCTCAGCATATTGTGTATTACAGTATGTGTTTGGCATCCCATACCAGCATATCAGTATTATAATAATGACTCAAATACAGTTTGATTTATAAGATATATAATGGATTAGCTTACAGTGGTTATTTAGTAGACTGTACAAATATTTGTATATTTTATAAGCCTTATAAAATATATCTGGAGTATACCATGAGTATATCTTTCAGGAGTTGCAGGCGAGGAGTCACAATAACGTGGCTAAAGTAAGTTGACCAGACCACACACTAGAAGGTGAAGGGACGACAACGTTTCGGTCCGTCCTGGACCATTCTCAAGTTGATGAGAATTGACTTGACACTCGAATCAACTTGAGAATGGTCCAGGACGGACCGAAACGTCGTCGTCCCTTCACCTTCTAGTGTGTGGTCTGGTCAAACTACTTCAGCCACGTTATTGTGACTCATCGCCTGCATATGGATACCAAAGTTAAAGTATAATTCTGTTTTAGTGAACCCCTGAGAACATAAAATCAATGATCCAAATAATTGTAAATGAATGATACCAACATTGAACCATATAACAGATTGTACCCCTAACCCTACTGGACTTTGAAGTAGCCATAGACAGCATGCCCCATGCTTTCTGTATCAGGCCTGGATTCCTGGAATTATATATTTACTGTACCAAGAATTGCAAAAGAACACTATCACAAGCCCTAAATATCTTTTGGAGATGGCGCCTAGATGCGGGTGTTCTTAAAACAGTGGAGATTGCACCAGTTCACAAAGGAGGTAGTACAGTGAAATGCAAAAAATTATAGACCAATAGCTCTAACATCACAAATCATAAAAATCTTTGAAAGAGTGCTAAGATGACCACAAAACACATGGGATCACAGTGTCTCCACAACCCTGGACAAAATGGGTACAGGAGTGCCCCTCACAATTGCTAGAATACTATGACATGGCCTTAGATGCCATGGAAGACAAATTAAACACTGATATAATATACACAGATTTTGCAAAAGCTTTCAACAAGTGTGACTTTTGTGTCACACTTGTCGGTAACAGTAGAGTACTGGTAAAGTAGGAAGATGGATTTTTAATTTCCTAATGAACTGAACCCAGAGTGTAATTTATTTATTTATTTGTATACAAGAAGGTACATTGGGGGTTAAGAGAGTACATAGCAATGATAATTTTACATTCTTGTAAAGCCACTAGCACGCATAGCGTTTCGGGCAGATTTTCGGGCAGTTTTGGTAATGGTCAAAGAAAAGTAACAAAGTAAAATCTGGATAATCCACCATGAAAAGCTCAGTCCCCTAAGGTACTGTGCTTGCTCCGGTACTTTTTCTCATCTTCACATCAGACATAGACACGGATACTAACTACTATATACGTTATCATCCTTTGAGGATGGCACCAGGATTTTCATGAGAGTAAACATTATAGACACAGCAAACCTTGAATCTGATGTTAATCAGTTTCAGTGTGCTACAGAATATAACTTGATGTTTAATGAAGATAGTTTCAGCTACTGTGCTATGGAACAAAATACTAAAACTGAAACCACAAATAAAATGCAATCAAACTACACTATTGAATGAAAAGCATTACAAAAGATTTGGGATTAATCATGTTGGAAGACCGTCTAAAGAACACAATAATGTTGCTGTTGCAATTGCACGAAAAATGACAGGTTAGATAACAAGAACCTTTCAAACAAATTCCATATCAATGATGATATTTTTTAAGACATTAGTGCTCTCTATGGTAGAATATTGTTACTAACAACCCTATTAAAAAGCTTAAACAAGAGTGTCTCTCTCTCTCGCCTCAAGAGTTCAGGCGAGAGAGACGTAATTATTTACACTTGGAAAATATTAAAGGGACTGGTTCCAAATCTATACACGGAAATAATGCCACATAAAACCATGAGGCATGGCTGGATGCCTCATGATTTTATAGCCCCATTGAAAAGCAAGGTGCAGTAGGTATGCTGATAGGAAACTTCAACACAACACAAATCAACACAAAGAACCTAAGACTTTGCAACACACTCTACACATCTGGGGTATAACTGGCTGACCTTTCACTGTGTTCGAGATTAACTTAATAAACACCTCCAAAGGGTATCTGATCAGCCAGGCTGTGATTTTTTTTTTTTTTTTTTTTTTTTTTTTTTTAGATATATACAAGAGTTGTTACATTCTTGTACAGCCACTAGTACGCGTAGCGTTTCGGGCAAGTCCTTAATCCTATGGTCCCTGGAATACGATCCCCTGCCGCGAAGAATCGTTTTTTCATCCAAGTACACATTTTACTGTTGCGTTAAACAGAGGCTACAGTTAAGGAATTGCGCCCAGTAAATCCTCCCCGGCCAGGATACGAACCCATGACATAGCGCTCGCGGAACGCCAGGCGAGTGTCTTACCACTACACCACGGAGACTGAATCATACAATAAGCTGTGAGCAGCTGTGTCCAACAGCCTGGTTGACCAGACCACCAACCAGGAAGCATGGTCAGAAACTATGATGTGAGAACATTGGTCCCTGGAACGAACAACAGGTAAGAAACGGGTAGACTGTGGGACTTGATTGTGTCAAACATACTGTATTTAAAAATACTGTACTAGTATATTTACATACAGTATATCATTACAGATTATTAACAGTAAAATTAATTAATATTAAATATAAATTTTGTGTACAGTATTTGTACACTTAAAAAGGCATTGATCATCTTCATTGGGATAAATTTGTATTTAGTAATATAATTTTCTATATTCATTGAAGACTTGTGTGTCTTTGTGTTCAGCCATTCTCATAAATCAAAACTTTTCTAGCAATTTTGTTCATTTTCAGCTCGGACACTTCCATCTACATCACCAAGCTGATACCTGGGGGAGCAGCGGCCAATGATGGTCGACTGCAGATTACAGATGTTATAGTATCCGTTAACGATGTCAGTGTTGTCAATGTTCCTCATGCATCGGCAGTTGATGCACTTAAACGTGCTGGTAACACTGTACATTTGGTGAGTAAGCTTTTTTTTTTTTTACATATTAAGAAAATCATTTTTTATGTATGGTAAGTATTCAGTTGTCCTGTTTAAAATGAGGTTATTTATCCTGTTTTTTAATGTAAACACTGTAATACATTATTGAATTTCTTCTTTTTGTCTATTCTGAATGGCACCAGAGTCAGAAAATCAAGTTTTATGTATGGTAATTATTGAGTTGTCATGTTTAAAATGAGATTATTTATCCTGTTTTTAATGTAAACACTCTAATTACATCATTTAATTTCCTCTTTTTGTCTATTCTGAATGGTTGCTGGTCTCCACAAAACACTTCTCCCAAAAAAGCAGTGTTAAATGTACTGTAATTAAAGACCTCTTCCTGGCCAAGGCCCTGTGGCTCCCTAAAGCTCTCTTACCGAGATTGGTCCCAACTCAGTAAGAGTTCTGGTAGTATAGTTGGGTTCATTCTCTACTCACAATCAAGAATCCCAGGTTCGAATCCTGGGTGGGACAGAAATGGTCGAGTGCATTTCCTATCGCCTAATGCCTCTGTCCACCTAGTTGTAAATAGATACCCAGGAGTTAGCTAGTTGTGGGGTTGCATCCTGGGGAGGGTTAGTAATTTGACTCTTGGGGGGTGAACCTCAATACTGTATAAGCCTAATATGTACTGTATATATAAATTAGCTGCCTGTCCCCCGACACAAAGAATTATTATTATTATTGAATTAACTACTAGGTCACATCAGCCATGGTGTTCTGTTTGTCATACCGGTAACCGGAGTCAGAACCTGACGACCCCATCACAAACGTACTGAGAGCAGATGACACTGTGCCGGGAAAGCTTTTAGTGTGTCAATGAGTCGATACAAACTACTGCTGGGTTCAAAAGAACTGAAGCCTTAAAACTGCCAAACAAATTTTCCATTCAATGTAAATAATTGAATCTCTCAAAACTAACATGAGCTCGTTAGCATTAACTCCTGCCAAAAAGAAGAGAGCAGAGCTCCAGGTCTTGCAAGCCAGTTCTGGAGCAGCTGTGAAGACCATAGTCACCAGCTGGTGAACTTGGAAGGGATGGAGGGAATCAGGGACCCACTGGGGCTCATCCAGAAAAAGGCATTTCATTACTTTTTTTATTTTTGTATTTTTATTTATATATACCTGTACAAGAGTTCTTACATTCTTGTAAAGTCACTAGCACGCATAGTGTTTCAGGCAGGTCCTTAATCCAAATTTTCCGTGGAATATGACCCGCCCAAATTTTTTTAACCAATTACCCATGCACTACTGGGTGAACAGAGGAGTACATTTAAGGATTGGTGCCTAGTCGGTCTTCCCCGGCCAGGATACGAACCCAGCCCAAATCACTTCCGAAGTGCCAGGTAAGTGTTTTACCACTGCACCACTGGGACTGCTATTCAATGCTGGTTTTCTGGGGGAACCCATTGTGCTCTCTAGATCTAACCATTGTCCCACGGAGAAGAAAGACAAGGGACTTACCAAGGAGGAGGAGAGACTGCAGGCAATCAAGATAAAAAAGAGACAACTAGCCGAGAGAAACAAGCTAGGGCAAAATATTCATGACGTGGCCTCGAAACATTAACTAAATGCCATGCTGCCAAGACCCCGTTAGACTACCAAAAGCTGTGCCTGAATATCAGCCCAGCACATGTTGGCAAAGACTGCTGCGAGTGCAGCATACTTACAAACATCATGGGCACGATTTCAGGCTGGGTGGACTTAATGACACTGTGAATGACCTAAGAAACATGAGCCTTGGAACAAGGAACCAAGGAAGAGGGATCTACCCACAAAGTGTCCACTGAAGTAGAATCAGTGGCAGGAAGGAAGTGGCGAAGAGCCTCCACCGAAGCCTCCACCGAAGACACACCACATGAAGTGCCCCCAGCCGAATCAACCACTCATGAACAATCGGAGAACCCCTCCAGAAGCCCGCTGACTCATTATTTGCCAGAAAAGGAGGAGATGGCTACAAATGAACATAATGCCCACCTAAGCCAAAAGAACAAAAACCCCACCTTCCAGAGAAGAGCACACAGCTCCTCATCCTTATAACCAAGTGAAAAACTGCTTTAAAGAAAGAATCATGTACCAAAGGGGAACCATAAACCAGAGGGAAGAAAGAAAGTGGGCACATGGTCAAGAGATGAGAAGGGGTCAGATGGCACATAAGGAGGCTGCAGGTGAAACAGTGCCCGAGATAGCTTCCAAAACAGTGCCGAGGTAGTATTAATATCAAACACAAGCAGTAGCAGCTCCACCAGCACCGAACGATAAGAGGTGGTAGTATTAGGTATAAGATGCCGGTTGGGAAACAACCAAGAGAACTATGAAAGGACAACACAAACATAGAAGCAAAAATGACGACGGACAAGAAGTGACGAAGAAAGTGCCAAAGTACTTCATTCTGCCACAGGAAAGCAAACACAAGTGCCACAACATTAATTCAGCCACCTGTTTACCATAGAGATGGCAATAGAGGTGCATCAGAAAGACCAGATGCGAAGAAACGAGGAGAAATACATACCTAATAGGTACATCACCAGACCGATCTCCTGAAAGAAGTGGAGCCATGGAAAAACACCTGGGTTCAAACACCATGCAAGCAGCACCTGAAAACAAAACTGAGCTGGCCACCAAGTAGCCAGAATGACCACCTTGCCCTGGTAGGACTCCAGAAGCTTAGCACCATCAGCAAACATGTTCATATACTTCTGTGTTACTTCTGCTAGATCATTATAATAGATGATGAACATTATTTGTACAAGAACCTGTAGTAACATGGCAGATAGTGATCTGCCGTGTTACTTCATCAGTAATACTTCACTTCTCCAGTCTGATACATTACCGCTGATACATTGCCTTTATCTTTCTGTGGTAAACATTTTCATCTATGTCATCAGTCTGCTTGTCACCCCCCCTCCAGAATGTTCTAGTTTCTAGAGCAACCTCTTGTGTGTGTGTTTTTTTTTTTTAAGGACTAGATACAGTCAAGTCAACCCAACTATCTCTTTCCTGTAAAGTCTCTGTAGCTCTTTGCAACAACTAACTAGAATTGTTAAACAGAATCTTTCTGTTCTAAAGCCATACTTTCTCTCTGCTGTTGTATTATTTCCTTCCAGGAATTCTACCCATTTGATCTAACTATTTTTTCTAGTGTTTTGACCACCACACTTGTCAGTGATAGTGCTAACGAGCTCACACTTATTTCCAGAGATTCGATCCTTTGTTGATGTAGTTTGCGGGGTTCGTTTGTTAGTTTTAAAGTTTGTGTTGTTTTGAATCCAGCAGTGATCTGTTTTGGTTCACTGACTTTCTGGAGGCTTTATCGGTGAGGTTGCAGAGTCATGTGCTATCTGCTCCTCTATGGGGGGGGCCAGGTTCTGGCTTTGGTCTCCCAGTAAGCCAAACAGAATTTCTCAGCTGATGTGACTTAATAGTTGGGAACCATCTTGGCTACATAGCTTCAGGGAGCCATCTCGGCTAGATAGCTTCAGGGAGCCGTCTTGGATAGATAGCTTCAGGAAGCCGTCTCGGCTAGATAGATAGCTTCAGGGAGCCATCTCGGCTAGATATCTTCAGGGAGCCATCTCGGCTAGATAGCTTCAGGGAACCATCTCGGCTAGCTTCAGGGAGCCAGAAGGGGCTTCCCCAGAAATACCTACAGTACCTGCTTATAATATTTGAATTTGTCCAGTGCATGGTTCACGTGAAAAAAATTTTACTCCTCAGTTTTAATGGATTATTCATGTAATCTGTTCTCGTTTTGTTTTCAAGCAGATTTTTGGTTCTTAACCTTAGATTGTGTCTTTCAAATATAACTGTATTTAGAAAATATGACTTTTAAAACATTTTGCTGTTCGAATGTCCTTGCCTTGCCTTGCAGTTACCTTGTGTTGATTTCGGGGCTCAATGTCCCCATGGTCTGGTCCCTGACCAGGCCTCCTCGTTGCTGGGCTGGTCAACCAGGCTGTTGGATGCGGCTGCTCGCAGCCTGACGTATCAATCACAGCCTGGTGGATCTGGTATTCTTTAGAGGTGTTTATCGAGTTCTCTCTTGAACACTGTGAGGGGTCGGCCAGTTATGCCCACTTATGGGTAGTGGAAGCGTGTTGAACAGTCTCGGGCCTCTGAAGTTGATAGAGTGTTCTCTCAGAGTATCTATTGCACCTCTGCTTTTTAACGGAGGCATTCTGCACATTCTACCATGCCTTCTGGTCTCATGTGATTCGTGAATTAGATTTTAGATGTCAGCTGAAAATATGAAACACTGTACAGTATATAAAAATTGTATGTACTGTACTGTATTGTTAAATTATTCTAAGTTTTGCCTGTATTCGTCAGAGTATTGACAGGTGCCAATACTTGGCGCTTGTCTTAGACACTTGCCCAATGCTTGTCTCTAGACACCTACAGAGCTGACCATCGAGTGCATGAGCCTGAGGAGTTTATGGTCACAGGTTCGATCCTGTTGTATAGCCTCAATATTCATTCATAGATTCATCATGTTCTTTTATAATAGTAAATAATAATAATAATAATAATAATGTTTATAGAAAAGAATGTGTGTACAAATAACATAAGAGTAATGTACGATTGTAGGGACAAGAGTTACACGTACAGCACTAGTGAAGCCACTATTATGCAAAGTGTTTTAGGCAAAACTTTGAATAATTTAGGTACAAAAATTATTTAATGATGTGAAGGGGTAAACACTTAAAAATGAAAGAGAAGCTTTTATTATTGCCTGGAACCTTTTGGTTATGAACTGGCTGCACTGACCACTGTGCTACAGGATAACAGTACTGTAATCTAATAATCAAAGTTACTGTAATTGCTCAGTACAGTGTTCCAAATGATTCAGTGTATAAAATTCCATATACTGTACTGTATGTCTTGTTAACCAAACCACACACTAGAAATTGAAGACGATGACGTTCCGGTTCGTCCTGGACCATTATCAAGTCAATTTGATAATGATAATCATTATCACAATCGACTTAATAATGGTCCAGGACGGATCGAAACGTTGTCGTCGTCTTTTCAATTTCTTGTGTGTGGTTTGATCAACATTTTTCAGCCACGTTATTGTGACTTTTCATCTGTATGTCTTATTTGTAAACATTTTGCTAACCTTTTTCCTCTTTACAGTGCGTGAAACGTCGCAAGCGCCCCCCAAATGTTATGCTCTTGGAGGTTGAATTGATAAAGGGAAACAAAGGACTCGGATTCAGCATTGCAGGCGGCATAGGAAATCAACACATCCCTGGTGATAATGGTATCTACATCACAAAAATAATGGAGGGAGGTGCAGCACATGTCGATGGACGTGTGTGTGTTGGGGACAAGTTAGTTGCTGTAAGAGAAACTCCAGTAAGTAATCATTATTTTGTTGTTTCATAAAGTTATTGCTTTAGCAGGTAAGTAAGTTATTATCAGAGGAAGGTGCCATGCCACAAAGATTATTTAGCACCATGCATGTCATGGAATATTGTCAAGGTTCTAAATACCACTCAGGATGGCGGTACGACAACAATAAGATTCAAGATGAGAAACGTCAAGGTTTTCAGATTATTGTAGGACAAATTACTCAAAAGTACATTTAGAAAGCAATCTAATAAAGGATAGTGTTCTGATTAAGTGCCGCATTAAGGTACAGTATGTGTACTGCCTCTATGAACATATCTGTAGAGAAATCTGTGCATCTTGTTGGAATACTAACATTTGAGTTATACTGTAATTAAATGAGTAAATCTGAGGGGAAGAATTGGCAGGTTGGATGTTGGGGGGTTGATTGCCTGAACTTACTGTATTGGTAATATGAGTGTTTACCCAGTGTAATCCAATCTAACTTAACCAAATCCAGCAAAACACAACCCAATTCTATGTAAGAAAGTACATGGAAAGAATCGATAATAGAAGTCCTTATAATTTATAGTACCTTACCTTGAGGTGCTTCCGGGGCTTAGCGTCCCCGCGGCCCGGTCGTCGACCAGGCCTCCTGGTTGCCGGACTGATCAACCAGGCTGTTGGACGCGGCTGCTCACAGCCTGACGTATGAGTCACAGCCTGGTTGATCAGGTATCCATTGGAGGTGCTTATCCAGTTCTCTCTTGAACACTGTGAGGGGTCGGCCAGTTATGCCCAGCATAACTGGCATAAGTACAACAAAATTACTGGAAGGCAGATAAGTCGATCCTTACTCTTGCCTCTCATCATCTGCAAGAAAATGCAGACTATCAGTGTCTTAAGTGGCAATGCCAACTTCAACAAAAGAAAGGTGACTGCGTTTCATATATCAAGTTCTGTTTTCAATTTTTTTTGTACCATGTCAACATTACCATGACTTATCCCATGATTTATTAATTTATTCATGGAAGGATCTTGAGGTACAGGAGAACTTGCAAACTGTTTGGGAGTTAAGACTTTGCAAGAATGTACTCAGGAAAGCAAGTCTGAACACAAATGTGGGATGTGTGGAGTTTCACAGCAGAGTGGACAGCGCTATAGGGTCGTAGTCCAAAGAGCCCGGGTTTGATTCCCGATTGAGGCAGAGACAAATGAGCAGAGTTTCTTTCACCTGATGCCTCTGTTCACCTAGCAGTAAATTGGTACCTGGGAGTTAGACAGCTGCTACGGACTGCTTCCTGTGGATGTGTGTGCATGAGTTGGAGAGAAATGTAGTAGTAGATAAAAAAGTAGTAGAAAAAAGATATGTAGTAGACAAAATACAGAAAAAAGTAGATCGTGTAGAAAGGCAGGATGCAAGAGCTAATAGCTTGATTCTGCAGGCACAAGTAGTAAATACAAGTTCAGGCAACACTTGGATAGGAGCACAAGTGGATCCCAGAACTGAAGGGTAAGAGCTACGAGGAAAGGTTAGAGGCATTAAATATGCCAAAACTGGAAGACAGAAGAAAAAGAGGTGATATGATCACTACATATAAAATAGTAACAGGAATTGATAAAATCGATAGGGAAGATTTCCTGAGACCTGGAACTTTAAGAACAAGAGGTCATAGATATAAACTAGCTAAACACAGATGCCGAAGAAATATAAGAAAATTCACTTTCGCAAACAGAGTGGTAGACGATTGGAACAAGTTAGGTGAGAAGGTGGTGGAGGCCAAGACCGTCAGTAGTTTCAAAGCATTATATGACAAAGAGTGCTGGGAAGACGGGACACCACGAGCGTAGCTCTCATCCTGTAACTACACTTAGGTAATTACAGGTGAACTGATCCTTGCCGGTGGGCGTGTCACACACAGCTTACTCAAAATACAAAAGAACCATCTCACCTTGCATCAACCCCATGGTAATCTGCATATGTTTGAAAATCCTTGCCTCCCCCCCTTCCTTCTTCCCATCCTTCTCCTTATATTTTTAAAAGAGGAACCTAAAAAAATTGACTGTTGAATATAATGAAATCTCGCTCTCTGGTGAGTCCTTTAGGTGGCTTCCCAAGTTACCAGAGTGGGAACCCTTCCAGAAATAAACATACCTATACATTTTTTTAGCATGATCTAATCACTGGCACACTTAACAAGAAAGTGCTTATGTGATTTGTTTATTAAGGTTGGTAGATAATCCCACTGCCATTTTCATCAATCGATATGTAAATGACAATTTGTAATGCCTTTTACACCTGTTCTGTTTTTCTTCTACAGTCTGGAGATGTAAATCTAGAAAACGTAACCCATGAAGATGCCGTTGCCTGCCTCAAGTCGACCAGCGATCGTGTTGTCCTGGTCTTGGGTAAGGTGGTTGCTCCTCAGAATAATGCCACCACAGACCTCAACCCTTCCATACAACCCTCCCATCACCATCAAGACCATTCGCCCCCACCCCGTGAGTTCTTAATTAATGTCCGTTCGTATCTAATTTTCATCCCGACTTTTTTTTTTTCTTTTATAAGTCTTGCATTTTTTTTTACCTTTTTCACTTTGCATTGGTAAACTCCAGAATACTTTGCATGTTTTAATGATGTATTAATGCATATGGTCAACAGTAATTATTTAGCTTTATAATGTGAAATACAACAAACTTAAAACACAACTTACATGATGTTTCTGGGAATAATATAATTGCAAAGAACTTTGTGTGTAATTGACTTAGTGTTCCTTAGTGTTCCTGTTTCCTTTGGAGACGTTGTACTTTTGCGGGTTTTTCTTTTATTTTGTTCTTTGCCTGGTGTGGGAGTCTGCCTTGTGTGGCTATAGGACCACTTATATTATTTTGGTGGTTCTCCACTAGGTCCCTGTGACTGTACACATTGCAGGGATTTCAGTTTTATTATCCCCTTACTAGCTTTGCATCTAACTGGTTAGCAACACCTTGTCAGGGGCTTTTCAAAACAGTCAGCCTCAGGGCCCTGGAAAACCCTCTTAAGGCTCAGTGGCACTATGGATGCGTCTTCCAAGTTCCAGCTCACCTTGTGCGAGTTTGAAAGTTCTTCTTGCTTTCCTCATAATCCTGTCCTGTCCTTAAACTTGGTGTGGATTTAGCCTCGACCCTCTCCTCTTTTAAGTCATCGTACTTATTCACTGTTCTCATACCTAAAATGTTTCCTTGTGTGTTCGTCTTGCTCATTTGGGTCTGTAATTTCCACCCGTGTACTTACTGGCATTTTTTCTTTCTTGTTTTTGAACATTTTGTCTTTATCAACTCAATCTGTTCCTCTAAGAATCTTATTCTTCTCTCGTAGTCTAGTCCCTTCAGCCTGGAAAAAACATGTCTTGATGTAGTGCAATGATTTGCTGTTTTAGGCTCCCAGTGTCAGGAATTGCCTGCTGCTCAAAGATAAACTATTGACAGTGCTGAAGAAATATAGCTTCCGTCTTAACTTCCCAAAGTTCAAGCCTCAGCCTGTAATTACCCAAGTCTAGTTATGTAAGTGTAGTGATAGGATGAGAGCTATGCTTGTGGTATCCCGTCTTGCCAGTAGTCTTTGTCGTGACTTTTTGAAACTGATGGTTTTGGCATCCACCACTTTCGTACTTGTTCCAAATGTCTTGCAAAGGTGATCGTTCTCATTTTTGTTGGCAGCATTATTTCCTTAGCTTGAATCTATAACCTCTTGTTCTTGAAGTTGCAGTTTTCAAGAATTCTGTTTTGTCAGTATTGTCGATTCCTGTTACTATTTTGTATATAGTGATCATATTGTCTCTTGCTCTTCTACCTTCCAGCTGTGGGATGTTTAACACCTCTAGCCTCACTTTGCAACTCTTGTTTTTCCAATTCTGGAAGCAATTTAGTTGCATCTTTTTGCACCTTTTCCAGTTTGTTGATGTGTAGAGGTTGACATGACTGAGGTATTTTGAGGTCATCTTGAGATGATTTCGGGGCTTTTAGTGTTCCCGCGGCCCGGTCCTCGACCAGGCCTCCACCCCCAGGAAGCAGCCCGTGACAGCTGACTAACACCCAGGTACCTATTTTACTGCTAGGTAACAGGGGCATAGGGTGAAAGAAACTCTGCCCATTGTTTCTCGCCGGCGCCCGGGATCAAACCCGGGACCACAGGATCACAAGTCCAGCGTGCTGTCCGCTCGGCCGACCGGCTCCCAAGTAAGTCGGAGATACTCTAGCTCCCACCACCTACCTCACTTTGAAACCTGGAATCAAGTTTCTGGTTTTTTATTTTGGCTTTGTCATTACCTAGGGAGCCGATCGGCCGAGCGGACAGCACGCTGGACTTGTGATCCTGTGGTCCTGGGTTTGATCCCAGGCGCCGGCGAGAAACAATGGGCAGAGTTTCTTTCACCCTATGCCCCTGTTACCTAGCAGTAAAATAGGTACCTGGGTGTTAGTCATCTGTCACGGGCTGCTTCCTGGGGGTGGAGGCCTGGTCTAGGACAGGGCCGCGGGGACACTAAAACCCCGAAATCATCTCAAGATAACCTCAAGAAGGGGAAAGTGGTCAGTTCATTAGACTCGAGAGACTGGGAGCAGTTGTAGTGTTTGCCAGGTTACTAAAGTATAGAATTACTGGTGTTCTATTATACAGCGCTTCCATCCTTCGTGACAAAAGTCAAGTGACCCAAATAATAGCTTCAAAAACTTCTTTATATTGCCTATAGTGAGACTTTAACTGGTCTTGCTTCTTTTGTCACATCCAGATACAAGAGTGATCTCTTCCACCATTGCTTGTACAGTGCTGCTCAATCTTGTTATGTGGTGGGCCTCTCCACTACCTCTTGTGTGTTGTTATGGTTCAATATTGAATGCTTCTTGATATCTTCATAGTCATAGCACATCTTACATAACTCTTAATATTCTTCTGTCAGGCCTCTATCTCTCTTGTGTAGCTTGATGACCTGATCATTCTTCCTTCTGTAGCACAGGAGGAAGATCTATGTTCTCGGCTTACAGCTGAGGGACCTTGATTCAATCCATGGGCAAGACAGAAACAGTTGGGCACATTTTCTTTCCTCTGGTGGCTCTGTTAACCTAGCAGTAAAATAGGTACCCAAGAGTTAGGCAATTGTTGTAGGTTGCATCCCGCAGAAGGTTACCAGTTGGCCAAGTGGGACCTCAGTAAGCCTAAGTACAGGCTCTGTCCCCAAGAACGGGAATTATGGAATTTATATCAACCCCCAGTTCTTTAAATGTGTTCTCAGGAAGATTTTCTCTCATGTTTATTAATGTGTCTGGCATCTTACCAGCACTCAAGCTTCATTACTTTGCACTTGCTTGAATTAAACTCTATTAGCCACTGTTTTGTAGGGTCTCTCTTGTTCTCTGATTTTAGGTCCACCCATGAGACATTGCTTGTATGCTGGGCGCTGCTTTGCTTTTATCCCCACCATCACAAGTAACTTTGCATGTGGCCTTGTCATGTGGTTGGGGTGAGGAAGAAATGTGGAGTCTATCTCAATTTCTCTCTTGAACGACCATTTGTTATAAGGCAAAAGAATACAGTAGTAGTAAATCACTTGGCACCCCATGTAATCAAGCACTGTGAATGCAAGCATAGTCATTTACTGCTCTGCTAATTGTTGATTAGTAACTACTGCCTGCCTTCAGGCAGCACTGACTACCACAATCAGTTCAGTTGACTAATTATTGTTTAGTTCCAGTGTTTTCTAACTTAAAAGAAAGATTGTCGAGGGCCTGCAGCCTTCTGAACTATCTTTGCTGTGGCTGTTTGATATAGTCTTCAGCATGGTCTTGGTCCTGTTGTGGTGACCCCTTACCTTAGTGGTGCCTTTTAGACCTTGTCTCGGGCCAAGGCCTTGGTACTGTACCAGCCCGTCCTCCTAAGGTTTACCAACATCAAGAAAACAGTCAATTTAAAGAATCCTTTCCTATCTTACCAGAGGACCCAAAACAGAAAATGGGACAGAACGTCACTTTTGCGAGCAGCCACAAAAATAGCCATAGAAAAATAGTACGAAAATTTTTGGCCTTATGCAATGCATATGGGCAAAAAGCGATGTTCTTTGTTGTGTTACAGGTTGTGCTCTGTAAAGCACAGAGAGTGCATGTAGTCTCCATAGCAAGATTCTGAGGCAGCACACACTAGACCTCATTCCAGGGTTTAAATTAAACTTTTTTGAACAGTCCCAAGGTTGTTTCCATTCCTGTTCTTGAGGTCCAAGACCAAGATCAAGCCAAGGGCCTGGCTTGAAGTATGACCTGGACTTTATACCTTAAGTGCCTCAGCTTAGTCCAACATCATGGTGTGGATAATAAATTATGGTAGTTTACAAGTGATGGCACGTAACATGACATTTGGCCATTCTAGCACTGGAGATTTTTTTTTTTTTTCAGGGATATTCCTGCACGGGCCCTAAGCCTCTGGCTGGCCCACTGGGCGGGCCCTAAGCCTCTGGCTGGCCCACTGGGCGGGCCCTAAGCCTCTGGCTGGCCCACTGGGCGGGCCCTAAGCCTCTGGCTGGCCCACTAAGTGTTGCTTGTTACTGTTTTACTTGGGCGGAGTATGAGTATTTATGACTCGTATGGTCGCTTCAGTAAGATTTTGCCATATGTGTTTAACAACTTCTTCTGCTCTGTTGAATCTAAGTTGAAATCTTAATGGGTTTGTAACTGTGCACTGTGTTAGATAATGTTCCAGTGGTCTGTCGGAGCACTGGAGATAATCGCAGATAGCAGTTGCAGTCATTTAAGAGTCGAGTTGGGGGTTTCTGGCTTCTGCAATATTGTTGTGGTAGCTAGTACTGCCACCTGGTGGTGGGTGATGTAGTTGGTGATCAGTACAGTACTTGGCAGAGTGATAACTGGCTATTCGTGCAATGTAAATTGATTTGTTTAGAGATTGTTTCATTCCAGTTCTTGAACCTATTATGCTATAAATTACAGTTGATTAATCTTAAACTATGTAACTAGCTTATCAAGACTGTAACTTGCATAGCTGAAGTTAATTTTGAGGTCCAGTACTTGAGCCCATTATGTGCCTCTGTTACCTTTTCCACTACCACTCACAGATTGGGTAGGGTCCACTACCACTCACAGGATGGGTATGGGGTCCACTTCCACTTACAGGATGGGTATGGGGTCCACTACCACTCACAGATTGGGTAGGATCCACTACCACTCACAGGATGGGTATGGGGGTGCATAATAAAAGACCTTAGTTAAAACTTGCAATCCCAATAATTGCATGCAGATCTTAAGTGGTTTGCTTTTGTTCTTTTGCCCTGCAGCGAGCAGTCACTTTAGTGGTGGATTGAGATACAGTACTGTCCATTACCTCCCTGCTCCAGCTACATGGCAAGTCCATTTGCAAATTTAATTATCACGGAGGGGGCAAAAAATTTTCCCCACATTCTCTCTCTTCCTCTCTCACGTTATGTCTGTATTATAAAATACAAATAACTTATACAGTACTTTATAATATTGTATTATGAGACGAACATCATTTGTCTTTTACGGCTTCTTCAAAATGTTATTTGTCTTATGAGCTATCCAGCAGTGTAAACCAAGGATATATTTTAAAATGAGCTGCTATAAAAAACTATCAACTTTGTAGCTTTGCAGCCTTCGTATCAATGACACGTGCTACTTAATCTTTTTTTCTCCTGGTTTTCTCATTGTTGTTTTGTTCCTGCCTTTGGTCTTAGTGTCTGGCAGCAGGTTGCATAAGCAGGCTCTTCTCATAATTTGCTATTGTAAATAAATGCAATAATTTTGCCGGACCAGAAATTTAGAAATCCAAGCAACCCACTTAACTGAATGAGGCTGATGCATAGAAAACATTGCTATTACAGTACTGTACTTTGTTACCAGTACAGTACCTTACCTTGAGGTTACCTTGAGGTGCTTCCGGGCTTAGTGTCCCCGCGGCCCGGTCGTCGACCAGGCCTCCTGGTTGCTGGACTGATCAACCAGGCTGTTAGACGCGGCTGCTCGCAGCCTGACGTATGAGTCACAGCCTGGTTGATCAGGTATCCTTTGGAGGTGCTTATCCAGTTCTCTCTTGAACACTGTGAGGGGTCGGCCAGTTATGCCCCTTATGTGTAGTGGAAGCGTGTTGAACAGTCTCGGACCTCTGATGTTGATAGTTCTCTCTTGAACACTGTGAGGGGTCGGCCAGTTATGCCCCTTATGTGTAGTGGAAGTGTGTTGAACAGTCTCGGGCCTCTGATGTTGATAGAGTTCTCTCTCAGAGTACCTGTTGCACCTCTGCTTTTCAATGGGGGTATTCTGCACATCCTGCCATGTCTTCTGGTCTCATGTGATGTTATTTCTGTGTGCAGGTTTGGGACCAGCCCCTCAATTATTTTCCACGTGTAAATTTTTATGTATCTCTCCCGCCTGCGCTCAAGGGAGTACAGATTTAGGCTCTTTAGTCCCAAATTATGTCACTTTAGTCCCAGTATGTCACATTTAAAAAAAAAATTGGTTGTTTGCATACAAAATTACGATGTATTGGGTGAGAGGACAGATTAATAAACTAACTTTTATCCAAGCTGTTCTTACAACTGAATTAATATCTCCATTGCATACAGGGAGTCCGTAAACTCATAATTTGGTATTGTACTTCCAACTTCTCAATCGTTCTTCATTTCTTGATCATGCAACTTGTCCTATCCCTTAATACAGTACGTCACATTTCAGGAAACCGAACAGTTCATTTAAAATGTGACGTACAGTACTATATTAGTAAAATTTAAAACACCTTAATATTAATTCTTGTTTTTTTGGCATTGGCCTTGATAGGTTAGATGGGGAAAGGGAACTATCAGGATAAAGTGTCAATCCTTTACGACTATATAGCACTTGGAAGGGTTCAGGATAAGGATTTGGGATGGGACGCGGGGGGGGGGGGGAGGGGGGAAATAGGGCCCAACACCTTGGATGGTTGAGGATTGAACGTGAACCTGCATGAAGCGAGACCATCGCTCAACCGTCCAGCCCAAGTGGTTGGACATAGGTTAGAGGGGTTACCTATAGGGTTCATGTGTTTCTGGTTAGGTGAAAGACTGTTGCCGATTTTTACAGAATGGGAAATTGAGAGAATGGGCTGGGTCATGCGTGCTACTCCACCTCAAATTTATTCTGGTTTGCTTCTTCATGTTATGAGGTCTCCACATGTGTATATTGGGTTTGAAATTATTATGCTTTTGGGTTTTTATAGCCTGGCTTTTTTGTTTCCATTTTAAATTTTTTTTCCCTATTGTTGATGTCATTTCCTTTCATGTATATGTGTGCAAGTACAGTATATTCATGCACTTGTATGCACAAATTCGCATGTGTTTTGTTATGCACAAATTCACATGTGTGTTTCCATGCATATACATGTGTGTGTGTGTGTCTGTGCATGCACATTTGTGAGAAATACTGTCAGCATTCAATAAATACCACAATAACTATTAATTTTTATCATTGGTCATGAAGTGTCCTGCCTCAAATAAAATGATCTGTATACCTGTACTGATTTATTTGAATTACTCCCTTTTTCATCAGGTTATTTTTCCTTTCCAGTATCTATCTCTTCCTCAATAGGCTCTCCTCCTACTCCCTCCTTCCCGTCCTGATCCTTTGTCCTTTCTTAGTGTTAACATTGTAGTTAGACCCTTGTTGTTGTTTTCGTTATATACTAAAATGCTTTTTTGTTTTAATTTAATTTGTTTACCTATGATGAGTTTTGTTTTGGTAATTTGTTTTCCCTTGCCTGTTCCCTTCCAATATTCCCATGCTATGTAGGTAAGAAAATAGGTTGTTTACATTTTTAGTTTATAGTTATTCGTATTCGTGGAGTGTTATGTAGTGAAGTGCAAACCATGGAAGCTTCATTAAATATAATATTCTTTAGCCTCATTAAAGATGATGTGTGGTTCTGCATATAATGGCTACCGCATTTCAGTTTTTAGATAGAGTATTGGTTAAGTGCTTTTAGTTTTAATCTCATTTCCTAGGCTGTTATGTCTTAGTGGTTTTAATCTCATTATGTAGGCTGTAATCAAGTGGTTAACCCTTAAACTGCTAAGTATTTAAAAGTCCTACATTAGGTGTGCGTGGAAAAAAAAAAAAATTGAATACCCATAAGGATGAATCACATATGGCAGTTTGAGCAGAACATGATTGGAGCAGTGTAAGGGTTGAGCCTAATTGTTGGTCTTCATCTTACTCATAACGTGATAGATTAAGCTTGTTGATAGTTGTGTGCTGAATAACCAGCATATAACACTCCAGATCCTTAATGCCAGCTGTCAGGTTACAGTATACAGTGGAACCTCGAGTGACGAGCAGCTCCAGTTACGAGTATTTCAAGTAACGAGCAAACCACTCGCAGATAATATGTCTCAACTGACGAGCTTTTGCTCGATTAACGAGCATTCCCACTGGTTCTCAGACACCTTCGACGACAGTTTTGTTGTTGTTTCGCAAGATGAGTTTTCCACATGACGAGCTCGGTGCTGGAACAGATTAAACTCGTTAATCGAGGTGCCACTATATATCCTTTGTGTTTGTGCTATATAATAAACCTGCACATGCTTCCCAATGTGATGGTCTAACCTCCTACCCCCTCCTCTGGGCTACACCAGCGACGCCGCCACCTGCTCCGCTCGACACCTCCTCGCTCCATAATGAGCTTCTGATGGAGGCCCATCCGCCCCAAGATGACCTCGTATCTAGGTAAGTGTTACTTTCAAAATTAAATTTGGTGCACAAGAGAAAATGTATAATAATAATAATAATTCACTGTGTCAGGGGACAGGAAGCCAGAGTGTATTCATACATGTTAGGCTTATATCACGGTCACCCCCCCCCCCCCTCTCCCTTCCAGGGTTGAATTATTGACCCCACCCAGGTTGCGACCCCACAACAAATTGACTAACTCCTGAGTTCCTACTTCTAGGTGAACAGTGGCATTTAGTGAATGGAAATGTGCCTAACCTTTTCTGTCCCACATGGGATTCAAACCCGGAATTCTTGATTTTGCATCAAGAACGCACTCAACTGTGCTACTGGGACCCATTGATCTGTAATGGTCTTGCACTTATCCTTAAGAGGCCATTAGGGTATTTCTCTTTAAAAAAATCTTTGGTTTAAGTAGATTATTATGGACCCCCCATGCTCATCCTAGTAGGAATGGCAGAAAGGTTTCAGAGTCACATACTGAGTTCAGGAATTGAAATCTGATGCATTTAAAGCTGAACAATTTATTTCTGTGCTCAGCTAGTAACATTGTAGTGTATTTGTAAAACGAAATCTACAATAGTGTGGATAATAACATTTCATTCACGGGGATTATCGGAAACCCTAACTCGAGTCTCAAAAGTACAAAACCATTGTCCTACCTCCTACATATATATACATATTCCTTCTGAAGATGTATTAATGTACGAAAGTACTTAAGGACATTTCTGTTTCAATTCTTCCTCCGTGGTCTGACACTCACATTTTTCATCACGTGTTACTTTTTGTGATTTACACACACACATATATATATATATATACACACACACACACACACAATGCACTTACATAAACCACAAGTTATATGTAACCAAAGAACTCTTCCTCATGAAAGGATTGGAACCTTAGAAATCATTGTGCATCAACCAGTACGCTAACCACTCGGCCACCACAGACTGTTATAAGGGTTGAGACTTATCCCCAACCCCCAACAGCACCAGTCATTGCCAAGAGATCACCGATCGTTTTCATCAAATCGGTCACTACAGAGGAAAAAGCGAGCCTCAAATGTATGACACACGTGCATAAACCACAAGTTATATGTAACCTAAAAACTCTTCCTCGTGAAAGGATTCGAACCTTAGAAATCATGGTGCATCATATACACCACCAGGTTTATGCAAGTGTGTTGTACATTTGGGGCTTGCATTTTCCTTGCTAGACAGGAAATTCCTTAAGTACTTTAGTATTAATTAATACATATATATACAGGGTGTTTTAAAAAAATTAATATAATTTGCGATGTAAATATCTAAGTAACTATATAGGCTAGGTAAATGAAACCAAACAGGCAAAATGTTGAGCAAGATGAGATTTATTCATCAAAATTTGAATGAGGAATTCAAAGGTATGTGGATTTCATAAACGAGTTCGCAGGTTTTCAATATGTGCACCGCCTGCAACACAGCAGACCTCAAGTGAGTCCATCGTGTGCTCAACTGTGGCATAGAGATTTTCTTTGCCAGAAATGTGAACACTATGCTTGTTGACCTTGCCATTCATATGAAAATGTGGCTTCATCACTGAAAGAAAGACGTTCAAACTCGTCTTCTTCAGGTTTCTCGTGCATACTGAGTCAGAATTGCTTGTGCCTGTTTATTCATTTGGCTTTAAGGTGTGAACGAGCTGCAGTTTATAGGGTGTCATTGGCAAGCGTTTCCTTGCGACACGCTGGATATTGTCGCTGGAGGATACTGGGTTTCCAGACTTGTTCTTCTTATGGACTTCATGGGGCTTCGCAAAAATGTTTCCCGAACCCGCTCGGCCATCTCTTCCGATACTGGTGGTCGTCCTGAGAATTTTGCCCCACAGAGACAGCCTTCCCCTTTGAACGTTTCGTGCCATGTTCAAATCTGCATTGCAGTTGGTGCATTTTTAGTGTATTCTCTCAAAAATGCACTCTGCACAGTCTTGTTCGACTATGTTTGAGTATACTCTTAACACACAAAACGCCTTTTCTTTTCCAGTGAACAGCATTTCCATATCTGAAAAGAAAAAAACATTAAACATAGAATTTTGAGTGGTTTTTACACATGCTGTTAAAATTTGAGATCATTTGAATGCTCCACATTCTATAGTACACAGTGTTTTCCACATTCTGTAGTGTATAGAGCAGTGTGTGTGTCTCGAGTCTGTAGTGCAGTGTGGCTCATTGAGATGGCCACTCGTGGCAGCTGCCATCTCCCCCATTTCCATGATTGCCTATTCCTTCCCCTTTCTCTTCCCTTTAGTCACTGATAGGGAATTATGGATAGGTAAGTACTGTTTTGCTCTCTTCCCCACCCTTGCTCTTATTTCACCATATACTCATCCACAGATTTCCTCGGGTGCACTTCAAAGAGATAGAACAATTTGCACAGATGTACAATACATTATATGGTTCTTCGTGGCGAATATTGAAGACACGCAAGACTTTATGTATAGTTGTTTATTGTTAAATATTGGAGGATGGCTAAGATATTCACAGATTATTTTAAAGATATGAAATCTCTCTCGTCCTTCCTACTACCCTCTCACACTCTCACCTGCCCCCCCTACTACCCTCTCTCACAGTCTCCTGCCCTCCCTACCTCTCCCCCCCCCCCTCCCTCACAATAGAACAGGAGAAGGGGAGTGAGGGGGGGCTCACAACAATGCTGCCAACATCTGCTGCCTTCACCTTGTGGCAGTTGCATGCTCTCGAAGAATGTATAGCTGATCTTGACTTATTTTTGTATAACCCTCGGTTCACACATTTGTAAACCAGCCCGTTTTCTTGAGTTGAGAAACCAGCCTGTTCTCTTGATTGGGAAACTAGCCTGTTCTCTTGATTGGGAAACTAGCCTGTTCTCTTGATTGGGAAACTAGCCTGTTCTCTTGATTGGGAAACTAGCCTGTTCTCTTGATTTGGGAAACTAGCCAGTTCTCTTGATTGGGAAACTAGCCAGTTCTCTTGATTGGGAAACTAGCCTGTTCTCTTGATTTGGGAAACTAGCCTGTTCTCTTGATTGGGAAACCAGCCCGTTCTCTTGATTGGGAAACCAGCCAGTTCTCTTGATTGGGAAACCAGCCAGTTCTCTTGATTGGGAAACCAGCCAGTTCTCTTGATTGGGAAACCAGCCCGTTCTCTTGATTGGGAAACCAGCCCGTTCTCTTGATTGGGAAACTAGCCTGTTCTCTTGATTGGGAAACTAGCCTGTTCTCTTGATTGGGAAACTAGCCTGTTCTCTTGATTGGGAAACCAGCCCGTTCTCTTAATTTTGGAAACAGTAAACACACAACCTCGTAAACTAACCCAAAACGTAAAAAATGCGACAGTTCTGCCTAACCTGAAGCGTACGAACCCAACCAACCCCACCTAACCTATCGAATACAGTGCATGGAAAACGTAGATATTTGTCAGCCGTTAATTTCTATAGTAAGGTGCATTTGTTTAGTATTACGTCAAAAACGTGACCTATTAGTTGTGGAAACAAGCAATGTGACAGCCTTGCGATGCCTAGTGCACTAACTCGTGTATTTTAAACAAATTTTGTTAAAAATACACAGGATTTTGTTTAAAATACACAGGATTTTGTTTAAAATACACAGGATTTTGTTAAAAATACACAGGATTTTGTTAAAAATACACAGGATTTTGTTAAAAATACACAGGATTTTGTTAAAAATACACAGGATTTTGTTAAAAATACACAGGATTTTGTTTAAAATACACAGGATTTTGTTTAAAATACACAGGATTTTGTTAAAAATACACAGGATTTTGTTTAAAATACACAGGATTTTGTTAAAAATACACAGGATTTTGTTTAAAATACACAGGATTTTGTTTAAAATACACAGGATTTTGTTTAAAATACACAGGATTTTGTTTAAAATACACAGGATTTTGTTTAAAATACACAGGATTTTGTTAAAAATACTAAGGATTTTGTTTAAAATACACAGGATTTTGTTTAAAATACACAGGATTTAGTTTAAAATTGATTTAGTTTAAAATACAAAGGATTTTGTTTAAAATACACAGGATTTTGTTTAAAATACACAGGATTTTGTTAAAAATACTAAGGATTTTGTTTAAAATACAGAAAGGATTATTTATTATCCTTCTTGCATAGTGCTAGGCTAATTTTTTCTGTGAAGCTGTATGGCTGATTAAATTTGGCTTTGTCCTAATTAATATCTTTGCGCGATAAGTTGAATTTGAAGTGTTTTAAGATAGCGAAAGTGTTTTCAGAGGGAAGGGAAGGGAATTATCAGACGAAAGTGTCAAGCCATATACGACTATATAGCACTGGGAAGGGGTCAGGATAAGGATTTGGGATGGGACGGGGGGAAAGGAATGGTGCCCCAACCACTTGTGGACGGTCGGGGGATTGAACGGCGACCTGCATGAAGCGAGACCGTGGCTCTACCGTCCAACCCAAGTGGTTGGATTTGAGAGTTAGTGATGGATTTTGCAGTAGTCACATTGCATATTACTTTGGGAAAATGTTAAGCTCTATAAAAATAGCGTGCGTTAGGGGTTTGTTTTTCTTTCTTAATTAACTTTTCTAGCCTGCTTTTTTTTTTAACTTTTCGGAAAACTTAAGGGAATGTCAATGTTTGTCAAGCCTGTCGACCGGGATGTGGGCAGCTCAAGCACGCAGGATAATTCCCGTTGTCGAGCATAGGTCTATGGACGTTGTACTTAGGCCTATCGAGGTCCCTCAGGATACTACCCACAACAGTTGCCTGACTCCAGGGTACCTATTGTACATAAGAACAAAGGTAACTGCAGAAGGCCTATTGGCCCATACAAGGCAGCTTCTATCTATAGCCAGCCAATTCC